AGAGTTAACTCTAAGTCATCGATGTCCTTCTTTAACTCAGAGCACTCGTCCTCCAGCTTCCTCTTTTTGGCCGTCAGTTCAGCATTCATCTCCTCCTCATCCTCCAGCCTCTCTGTCAGCTCTTTGGCCTTTGATTCCATTTGGATTTTGTTTTTGATCAGCCCCTCACATCTTTCTTCAGCATCGCACAGATTATCTTGCTCCTGTCAAACATTTAGTCTCATTAGCACATGCTTTAATGACAAGTTAAAGGAAAATGTCACTTAAGTGCTGTCGTTACCGCTTGAACTTGTAGCTGCAGGTCATTCTTCTCTTGGAGAAGTGAAACCATTTTTTCCTCTAGTTCCTTCCTACGAGCTTCAGACTTTGCATAAGCCTCTTTCAGCTTCAGGAATTCTTCCTTCATGTTGGCCATCTCCTTTTCTGCCTCAGCAGATCTCAACAGAGGTTTAATTTTGAAGAACAGCTTCATCCAAGGCCAATTCTTGACCCCCATGAAGGATCGGACATTCCACTGGATCACCAATAGAGCATCCCTGGAAGATTATTTTTTTCAATAAAATAGAAGCTTTATTTAAATCAATAGATCAAAAAGCAATAATTGTTGAATGAACCAATATGATCTTGATACCTGCGTTCCACTATCTTCTGAAACTCAATACGAGACAAAAGCCCACGGGATCTGGCTTGAATAGCAGTGATGATTTTGGAGAGACGCTCATCTCTCATTTCTTCAAGCAGACCCAGTAATCCAGCCTTAAAGAACACCTAAAGACGACAATATGTATTAGACTTTTTATAATTCTCTCAATCTACTAGACTGTGTATCTCAGATGATACCTTTGTGTGTCCAAACTTGTATTGATTGTGATCAATATCCAAGGATCCAAGGAGTTTCTCTGCTCCCTTCCTGCTGTCAATGAACTGACCCTCAGGGATGGCAACAGGATTCAGGATGCGGTATCTGGAAAATGTATAAGAAAAAATATCTTGGAGCATAATCTTTGTGGGTTTTTTCTTCATGCCATATGTGACTTTAATGAGGTAATACCTCTGTTTGAAATCTCCGTAGAGGATTCTGTTGGGGAAACCCTTTCTGCAGATCCTGATGCCTTCCAGCACACCGTTACA